GTGGAGCCTAACGAGCCAACCACGAAAGATCTCCCTCCCGTGGTAACATCCGGCCGCGACAAACTCTCGCCACGATTCGCAAAATCGTTTTCGCGACGAAACAGCTCGCCTGAGGCTCCCGCAACGTGCCGCCGAGACCCCTGTCCACGCATTTCCGTGCTGGGAAAATCTGTACCACCAACATTCGTCTCTCCCTCGCTGCTAGCACGAACCCCAGCAGCACCAGCAGCACCAGCAGCACTGACAAATTCTCCAGGCGGTCCCTGCGGAGGTGAAAGCGGTGGAGTAGAGGCGTGCGGGGCATTCGAGTCAGCAGCACCAAGAGCCGTCCTCTCCTGCTGTGCTCGCACGTCACGCTGTACGCCAAGCAGACGGCCATCGCACCCCACTGCTCTCCATTTCAACACCGACGGACTCCATTCCGCCGCACGGTCATCCGCATCACCTCCAGACTTCTCGTTCTTCTCGCTCCTGTCAATCTTGTCGGTCTTTTCGACCTGCTCTTCCGTTTCGTTCCTTTCAACATCGCGGTCGAGCCCAGAAGCGTTGCCACCACCAGCACCAGCAGCAGCGCTGCCTCCCGCACCACCACCAGCGCTTCCACCGGCACCCGCACCAGCAGCAGCGCCAGCACCAGCGGCCGTGACGGCGCGAGTGGCGCGCTGCTCCGCGCCCATAATGAGGCACTGCTGCAGCAACGACCGCCCGCGCATCCCGCCGTATCTCACTCCGCTCCCCGGCGAACCGCTACTAACCAATCGCGCCGATCCCGCCGCCCCACTCTCCCGCCTCGCGCCCGCTGAATCTCCCGCCTCGTCCTCCCTCCGCGCAGCCTGACCATCTTCCCGCGCGGCGTCTCCCTCATCCTCCGCCGTTCCCCGCCTGGCTGCCCGCGGAGAACCGGACTGGAGAGCGGCGGAACCCATGGCGGAAGCGGAAACTGGCGGGTTTTCTGCGCTGTCGGTGGTTGGTCTGCCAGGCTCTTGGGGTGGGGCGGATCCCGGCGGGGCGGATCCTGGGTGGACGGTTCCGGGGGGTTCTCCCTTGGAAGGCGACATCCTGGAAGGCTGCTGGTGCGCGCTGCCATCCAGGTATGGCAGAGCTGCTGCGGCCACACATGACCCAACCAACAGAGACACGAGACGACGCATGAGTCGAGTGAGTTGCTTGCTGCTGTCGCACACAGCTAACGGAAGGAAAAGACGAGAAAAAACCAAAAGAAAAACAGCTCAAATGCTGACACGACAAATCACTCACCGCTGTAGCCGCGCACGATCGCCGGAAGCCGCGGCGAGAAGGGCGGGAAGTCGCCGAGCTTGTCGAGCGTGTACTTGGTGCTGGCTGGCGGCGACAGCCACAGATTCGGCTCCGCCATGTCGCCCAAATCCATCGCACACAGTCGCAGCGGCGACGGCGAGCACAGAGGGATCGGCGAGTGGTACGAGAACCCCAGCCCACCGCGATTGCTGGGCGACGAGGATTGTAGCCCGCCTCTAGGCGACGGCGTTGGGAATTCCACTTTCACATGCAGCGGCAACTGACCGCTCGCGATAGCTTCTCGATAACTCTCCATTGTTGCGGTCGACTGTGCCACATCCCTAGACTCTGGTCCGATCATCCCTGGGTGCGTGGCGGTCTCCGGATCGCCCCGAGCTTCTGCGGGCAAAGCCTCCTCCTCTTCCCCGTCGTCTCTTATCGAATCGTTTCTAATCGAAGCGTTTTCGGCGCCGGTGATGGCAATGGTTGTAGGGTCGGGTTTCGTGTCGGCTGCGGCGGAGTCGTCTGTGTGGTAACTCTGTTGCAGTCGGTACACCAGCTGCGGGTCGCCCTCCCATAGCTGCGTGCGGCGACCGGCTCTGCTCGTTCGCTCGCCTCCTCCCCAACCCATCTGCCCGTGAAACCCGCCGGGAAACCCGCCGGTGGGAGTGCAGATTATTAAGTCGTCCCACGAGCCTTCTATCATCTCGTCGCCCGCGTTCCCGCCGAACAGATCCCCGGAAACGCCGCGCGCGGTGGCGTTGACTCCGTTGACTCCATCGGTCCCCATGAAGCTTCCCTCAATACCCGTCGCCGCGGATACAGGCGCGGCGAGGGACGATGCGCGGAAGAACGAAACAGGTCCCGCAGGCATCAGACCTCCGCCGTGTCCAGGCGCGCCCACAATTTGCGCCCCGCCGACAAGTTGCGCCCCGCCCATAAGTTGGGCTCCGCCCACAAATTGCGCTCCGCCCATAAATTGCGGCGCCGCCAAGAATTGCGGCGGCTGGATCCATTGGAGCTGGCCGTCCTCGGAAGCGGCGGGGACGAGCGACAGCAGCGCGCCGTCCGGAGCTGGCAAGGGGGAAGCACGCACAAGGTAAGGATACAGGTGCTTTGATTAGAGTAGCTAACAACGGGGAGGCCCACTAGGATGGTTTGCGGAAAACCGCCAAGTTGGGTTTGCAGGTTTACCATGTAACTGAAGGGGGGGCTGAATCGGCACTCCAGGAACGGTCGTCAGCCCGGACTGCGTCTGCTGCGGCGGCTGCGTGGCGGGCGTCTGCACGGATTTGACTTCAGACGTGTGCGGCGTTTGCGCCCCCGCGGGAGTGAGAGGGCTGTTGCTGGTGCGCGTCGCCACGTAGTGCTCTTGCGCGCGCCGCACGCCGCTCTCTGCGTGGCCACGCAGAGGTGATGCTTTCTCTGTCGAGGACGGCACCTTGGTGCCACGTTCCTTTTCCCCATTCGCGTAGACGCTCCCAAGGTTCTCCTTTCCCCTTTCTTGGTCCCGCCCCTGATTGTTTTCTCCACCTTCATCCGCCTCCTCCGCGCCGTTCGAAGCCTGCCAAACCTTCTCAACGTCGCCTGTCCCTGATTCGAATCCCCTTCTTCCTCCCTCACCACCTTCCCGCAGCACGGCCGCTTCCACTCCCTCCTGAGACTCATCCGCGACATAAGCAGCGGAGCGATCGTGATTCGCGTCTTGACCATGATGCTTCTCTTCTTGATCCGTCGACCTCGGCGTCATTGCTTCAGCACCAACTTCTGCCGTTGGTTCGGCTGTCGGGGTCTCATCCGTTTCATTCGCCCGTTCATCTGCCCGTTCTTCACCATCATTCCCTGACTCGGGCTCAGCAACAGCCCGTTCAACTGTCCGCTCAGAATCGTCGTCAATCTCTTCCGACGAAGTCGAGCGGAATCCGAGCTCCATCAGTGCCTCCGCTGCCGTAGACGCGTGCTCCTGGACTTGGGTGTGTGGCACGGACGCGTCCATTACACGGAGGAACCCTGTCACAGACATACTCGCTATTCTCAGAAACGCATGCGACTATGAAATCTTGAGGTCACGTCACAGAATCCTTCAATGCAAGGTACAATGAGGTGATTCAAAGGCGCGAGTAAATTTAGTGGTGTGACCAAATTGAAAATCTCCAAAAGATGCTCATAGGCGCGAGAAATCTACCTCAATGGTAAGATCCAGAGAAAGCCAACCAAAGAGCCTTATCCTCCGATATCCACGGCTGATAGGAGAGGCTCAAGACCGATAAGCTGTGGCCTTTAGGATCTCCTTTCCGTAGAGATCTCTGCTGTGTTCCCCTCGATTACGCCGAGATCTGACTCGAGATCGGACTTGTCGAAAAAGAGGCAACCAAGAGACGTCAAGTGAGGAAGAGAAGAGAAAGTAGACTGACTCGCATTGGGAATGACAAACTTCACGAGGAGCACGTGACACAAGGAGACGTCAGAAACAAGTCTCTGGAAAAGAGCGAACCGAGGCTGGTTTGGGCCTTCTATGAGTGGTCCTGTGGGGACCCTGGGTCGACTATTCAGGCTTAGAGAGGTGCAGCAGGAAGGAGAAGAAACCTCTTTTCGTCAGGATAAGCGTCGAGAATAGTGCGGCTTGGGAGTTAGGGATAAGGTGATGTGAGGAAAAGCGTGAGAGAGACGCGTGTAATTGTATTTCCCCATGGCGGCCTGCCTCTGTCATTTTCGAGGCGCCATGGGGACCTGCTGCTTCGAGAATGCCGTAGTGCCAGGTCTTTGAGAGCTGAAGCCTGGGGCCACCCGAGCCGCCATGGAAAGGTTCGGCCTTGCCAGGTTTGACACGCAGGAAATAGCAGTCTGACACGTGGAAAGCTGTAAAATTCATGGGATTTGCGCTCCCTCTACAGTAAACGCTTTGAAGGATATGTGTCGATAGGCTTAGATGTTGAATTGGTACAAACACAATGAGGATGTAATTACAGCCTAAATACAGATCAGTCAACCCTGCTCACTCTATACGAACTACATGTTTCTGTATCATAAATATATATTAACTAACATATTACGGGGCGTGTAATCAGCATTGGTCTTATCGCCCAGTTGCCTCAATATAATCGGGGATTATATCCGGAGTTATAAGGTATGAGGGAGGTGTACAATTATTGATTGAAAATATTTTCAATAACTACTGGCATACTTGCCTCAACTGGTCGTTCTTATAGAGCGTGGGACACAAGTGTGAGGACAAGCGCCATGTCACCTCATTTTTAGCGAATGATACTCAAGGAATTCGCCACGTGATACAAACTGCTAGAAAACGGACCAATCCCTCACCGTCGCGGAAATTGTTTTGCTGAAGCCACGCATTCCTTTCTCACTCGGAAAGACCCGCTCCAGGTTTGTGATTCTTTGTTCTGGGTTAGTGTGAACGAGCCCTAGCCTCGGGATCAGTCCGTCACGCCTTGGAATTGGCTCGTCTGCTCCACCCTCGGAGTTGATATTCTCAAGAGCTAATAGTAGCTAGCTCGAGCAGCTCTTTAGTGGATCGCCGCGCTCATTGCTCCGTCTTAGTCCGCCGCTTCGCTCCTCAGCATAACGTCCTTCGCCTGATTGTATCTCCCGTCCCACCGCACATCCCTTCCCACCGTCCGATCTCCTACCATCCGATCAAAGCGCCCTTGCACGCGCACGATCGATATTATCGATCTCGCCCATCTCGCATCTTTTTCCGATCCACTCACGCCTCGCCACCCACAATGGCATCCCTCGTCTCGCGCATCGCGTCGCGGTCCAGATCACACGCTGCGAGGGCCGCGCTTAACGCGTTCAACCTGCAGCCGACTCGAAACGTCACGTACATGCCGAAGCCGGGCGAGGGCGCGACGCGCACTGTTACGCTGCTCCCGGGTGACGGAGCCGGGCCGCTGTGCACGAACGCGGTGGAGCAGGTGTTTAAAGCCATCCACGCGCCCGTGGTGTTCGAGACGTATGACCTCAAGGGCACCATGCCCACCGTGCCCACCGAGGTCCTCGACTCGCTCCGGCGCAACAAGGTCAGACCTTTTAAAAAATGGTATTAATAATAATTAGTTCTTTGACTTGGCCCGGCATTGCTCGTCAAAGCGTCAATCCTATTCCCAGCTTCAATCCCGGTGAACTGTGTTCCCGATCCACATCCATCCCCATCTCGCGTCTTCTCATTAAATGGCATTCGGTAAGCGCTTAATCTTCGTCTGTCCTTTTATGGGAACGGCGGATCGCCCTTTTCGGTGCAGGTGGGGATCAAGGGAGGCGTGCGAACGGCCGTCGCAGGCGGAGTCAGTTCGCTGACGGTGCAGCTGCGAAAAGAGTTCGATCTCTTCGCGCATCTCGCCTACTGCAGTAACTTCCCGGGGCTGAAGACGCGGCACGACAACGTGAACATCGTGGTGATCCGCGAGAACACGGAGGGCGAGTACAGCGGGCTCGAGCACGAAGTCACTCCCGGGGTTGTCGAGAGCCTCAAGGTATGCCACGTGGCTCCTAAGCGCGCGAAACCATGCCCCGTGTCAAAGTCGTGGTATTGAGGGAAAAGTTGACGAGGATAGCGGGATCGGAGCACGAAGTCTCCCGTGGGGTTGTCGAGAGCCTCAAGGTATGCCACGTGACCGTGCTGATGGCTCAAGGTATGCCACGTGGCAAGAGTAAGTATGCCGGTGTACAAAGAGAACACCATGAAGCGCGCTTACGGCTAGTTCCTCTTCCCTTTCATGCCGCCACTCCCCTTCTCCGTTCCCTTCGCTCCTGCTCTCTCCCCCTCGCTCATTCCCCATACTCTCGCTCCCCTTCCGCCTCCCCTCCTTCCCCTGCGTGTAACCCTTCCGGGCTCCGCCTTGTTGATCACCAAGTCTGTTTGGAGCGCATCGCCAAATACGCGTTTGAGTGCGCCCTGCTCACGTCATCCCCCGTCTCCTCCATGACCGCCCTTCTTCCCTCCACTCTCCCCTCTCCCCTGCTGCAATGCAAGGTGATCACCAAGTTCTGCTCGGAGCGGATTGCCAAGTACGCGTTCGAGTACGCGTACCTGAACAACCGCAAGACGGTGACGGCGGTGCACAAGGCGAACATCATGAAGCTCGCGGACGGGCAGTTCCTGGAGTCGTGCCGCGAGGTGTCGAAGCAGTACCCGCAGATCAACTACAACGAGGTCATCATCGACAACTGCTGCATGCAGCTCGTCTCCAAGCCAGAGCAGTTCGATGTCATGGTGCGTGCAGGGAAAGTGGGGGAGAGAGGTGGTGGGGGGGAGAATGTGGTGTTGTGCAAAATGCAGTGGGTGAAAGGGGCTTGACAGCCGCTGCATGCAGCTCGTCTCCAAGACCGAGCAGTTTGACGTCATGGTGCGTGCAAGGGGGCGGGGGGGGGGGGGGCAGGAGAGATGGGGTGCTGTGTATGGTGTAGTGAGGCGGATGGCAACTGCTGCATGCAGCTCGTGTCCAAGCCCGAGCACTTTGATGTCATGGTGGGTGCATGGGGGAGCGAGGTGGCGCGGGGGTGTTGCGGGCTAGTGATGCAAGCAGGGGGGAAGGGGTGGTGTGATGGTGCGTGCGGAGAGCAAGGGGGCAAGCGCTGCACGCAGGGAGGGGGTGCAGGAGGAGGTGCAGAAGCGGGGAGGCAGGAGGTGCAGAGGGAAATAAGACCATGGGTGGCCGAGTTTGGTGGCCTAGTGATCATGGATGTGGGGGGGCGGCGGGGGAGAAGGGGGGTGGGTGGGGAGGGAAGGCAGGGGAAAGGGGGGAGCTACAGTAGAGGGTGGCGAGACAGCGAAAAAGGAGGGCTCTGAGTGGCTCATGGGAATGGCATGAGAGATGGAAACCATTCGTGCATGATTCTTGAACTTAAACATAAGCCTGTCATCCATCCAGCCCAATCACATCCACATAGAGGATGGCGGGGTGGGGAAAGGAAGGGTTGAGGTGAGGAAGAGAGAGGGACATGAGGATGTGGGCAACACAGGGGCAGCATGACAAGACAAGCAACTGGGGCCGCGAGAGTCTCCAAGGGCGGTCGTGTGTGGTCGTGTGTGGTCGTGTGTGGTCGCGTGTGGACGAGTGTGGACGAGTGGCCTTTGCTGACTGGGGGATTCGCCACTGGCATTGTTGAGAGTGCAGGGAAGAAGAGGGCAATTTTGGTCGTTGGGGAGTGCAATGACAGCCTATGACTGGTAGAGGGAAGGGGATAAGGGTGAAGGTGGAAGGTTTGTGAGATTTGGTCTCTTTTGCTTGTCTGCATGGGTTTGGAGCGTGTGGGGATGCACATGGGCTGTGTCTTGTTGCTCTCTCATATCCAGTTGCTCTCCTATATTTCCTCTCACCTCACCAACTCTCCTCACCTTCCAGTGACGTGCTCATCTACCCTCTTCTCCTTGTTCTCCCGTCATTCGGTCTCTCTTGCCTCTCCTTTCCATTCCCAAACACACACACACTCCCTTCCATCCTCCCCATTCAGGTGACCCCCAATCTGTACGGCACTCTCATTTCAAACTGTGCTGCTGGCATCGCAGGAGGCACCACTGTCATGCCCGGAGGTACGCTTGCTCTTCTTTTCTGGTTATCGCTGCAATTCCTCCACAGTGTTCAAGTGTGCACTCATTTCTCAATGCTCAGACTTCATGCCGGGCCTTCAGTTGCTGACAACACCACATCACATGGTTACTTATGGTTGATAAGAGTTACTTTCCTGTTGCATGTTGCCAAATGCTTTTGGGCCTTTTCCAACAGGGAATGTGGGTTATGAGCATGCCATCTTTGAGCAAGGGGCCTCAGCAGGCAACGTGGGGAACGACATCATCAACGCTCAGAAGAAGGCCAATCCGACGGCTCTCCTTCTCTCGGCAGCCATGATGCTCCGGCATCTGCAGTTCCCGTCATTCGCCGATCAGTTGGAGCATGCGATCTATGGAGTGATTGCGGAGGGGCTTGTTCGCCCGCCTGCCATGGGAGGGGATTCGACCACGCAAGAATATGTTGATGCGATTATTGCCAAGCTAGATTGAACTGCTGTAGATTATATTACTTTATGTGAAGCTACAGCTTTTATTAGTTAAGAAAGATTCTAGCCTCCAAGAAAACCGTTGTTATCCAAATACCGGTATAAACTGTCTACTTTATTTGTCTCAACCGTAGGACGAAATTTGCGTGTTTGTGAGGAGTCAGGAATCGAGTGCTTCAATATCGACCACGGATTCCTCCTCACCGCATTGCCTCCAGGGCTTCTACCTTCATCTCTCCACAGAAACGCATTTCGTTCGCCATTCACCTCTGATAACTGGAATCTCCCGATCCTGCTCCTTAGTTTCTAAGGTCGATCGGAAATCTTTTAGAATTTGCTCCCAACACGGCATCGTAGTCCCCTCGCGATCGCAGTTGTGTCGCCATGAGCAGCATCGGAACTGGGGTGAGGGGCTAGCAGCAAGTACTCTTGTATTAGCTCGTTTTGTCTCGCGATTGCCCGCATACAGTCGGCCTGATCTCCTCTACTTAGAATTCTAGACTTGGTCTCGTTGATTCTGCGTGGACGTCGATACGTTAGCCTTGCTTCTCGCGTCATAGTTTAGATTCGTTTGTCGACCCGCGTCCAGATTCAGTAATTTCGAGCTAATGAGCTTTTTCCCTTGGGAAGACGGCCTACGAGTAGCTTTTCCCTGAGATTGCCGATTCTCATTGCCACCGCTTCCGTCTCTCCTGCTTTGTCGTTTTATGTTAATCCCATACAGTACGATTTGTCCGTCACAACCTATTCGCCTGATGGCCGAATCTTTCAGATCGAGTACGCGGGAAAGGCGGTTGACAATAGCGGGTACGTCACTCTGAATCAACGGGTCATCCTGCTTGCCGTGTTTCCTCATTCGCCCGTTCTCTCCTTATCGTGCCCTCTTTTGTCCTCACTTCCTTCCCTCCCCCCTCCTCCACTGCCCCCCTATTCCTTTCCCTTATCTTTCCGGTTTATTCCCGCCATTCTCTTTCCTCCCTTCATGGTTTCCTCCTCTCTCATAACTTTCCTCCTCCCTTCCTGGTTTTCCTCGTCCCTCCCCCCTCCCTTCCGCCTCTCTCCTCGTTCGTCTCTGGCAGCACGGCGGTGGGTCTGAGGTGCAAGGATGGCGTTGTGCTGGTGAGTCATATAACGGGGAGATTCTAATAATGGGTTGAGTCTTATAACGGGGTGAGCCTTATGATGGGTTGGGCCTTATGATGGGTTGGCAGAAGCTGCTGGTGTCGAAGATGCAGGTGCAGGGCAGCAACCGACTGACGTCATGCCTCTCTGTCTCCCTCTCTCTTCCTCGGTCTTCCCTTGCGTCCTTTCCCATGGTCACCCCAGGGCGTGGAGAAGCTGCTGGTATCAAAGATGCAGGTGCAGGGCAGCAACCGACTCATTTCATGCCTCCACTCTCACCTCTCTGCCCCCCCACACTGCCACGTGCTAACTAACCAGGGCGTGGAGAAGCTGCTGGTATCAAAGATGCAGGTGCAGGGCAGCAACCGGCGAATCCACATAGTGGACAAGCATGTTGGCACCTAACACACTTCATGCCTCCTCTCCCACCTCTCTGCCCCCTGCACTGCCCCGGTCTTGCATGTCCCAACGCCCACCCTTCCCAGGGCGTGGAGAAGCTGCTGGTGTCGAAGATGCAGGTGCAGGGCAGCAATCGCCGAATCCACATAGTGGACAAGCATGCTGGCATCGCTGTGGCCCACTTCATGCCTCTCTGCCTCCGTCG